ACAGTGGTGGCTGCAGCAGTGGCTGTGGTGACAGTGGCTGTGGTGACAGTGGCTGTGGTGACAGCGGCTGTGGTGACAGTGGCTGTGGTGACAGGGGCTGCAGTAGTGACTGTGGTGACAGTGGCTGTGGTGACAGCGGCTGTGGTGACAGGGGCTGCAGTAGTGGCTGCGGCGGCCCCGCTCGCCGCCACCGCTCCTCTGCAAAGGTTAAGCAAACAGCAGCTCCCGCACAATCGATCCCGGCTGTTTGCTTTGGCAGCGCGGAGCGCGGGCGGGGGCGGTGCCGGGGGGGACGCCCACAGCAGGGGGGGGCAGTCGGTGCTCCGGGGGCGCGGGTTTGGCCGGGGGGCGGCTGTACCTGCTGCTCTCTGAGGGGCTCCTGGAGGAGGATTTGGGGAACGGCCAAGGCAGCCAGGCCGGGACAGGGGGTTTGTGGGGCCGGGGCTGGGCTGTGCCTCAGTTTCCCCTCTCACTCTGCCCACAGGACCACGCGTGGCCAGGGGCACAGGGACATTGTGCCCCCCACACCTTCCACCCGGCCCCGCCAACTGGGGGTCAGCCTGGGTGGGCTCAGCCCAGGGGGGGGCTGTAATTACCTGGGCTCAGCTGTAATTAGCACTTGGAGCTGGACACAACATACGACCCCGATGTCGGCCTGGGGAGGGAGTAGCCATTCACAAAGTGCCCCCAAAACCCTTGTGTGTCCCCAGGGTGGGGTCTGAAGGGGCCACTGGGAGGGGAACACTCAGGTGTGGACAGGGAAGGAGGTGTCCAGTCCTTGGGCAGGACCCCTGGGGCAATGGGAGCCTCTGTCCAGACCGTCCCCTGGCCTCAAGAGAGGACACCAGCCACCCCAGCCACCAACCTCCAGGCCTGTGTCACCTCCATCCCTAAGAAAGGCCACCCCAACCACCTTGTTAGGAGGCAGAGGTTATTAAGAAGAGGAATTAAGAAGTTTTCCAGGCTGTGGAAGCCCGGGGAGATGCAGCACCAGCATGGATCAACATGGGAGCAAGGGAAGACCCCACGGACCGATCCCAAGGTGATGCCCCTGGAGCTGGCCAGTGGGCTGCCTGGCTAGCCACAGGGCTGGCTGGCTGGTTGGCCAGTTGGTGACTGGTCAGCTGCTTGGCTGCTGGGTTGGCCAACTGGCTAGTGGGCTTAAAGGCCAACTAGGTGGCTGTTTGGTGAGCTGGGTGGTCGGTAGCCAAGTGGCTCACTGGCAGTGGGCTGGCTGGTTGAGCTGGGTGGTAGATGGCCATGGGGTGGGCTGGTTGGCTGGTGGGTTGGTTGGTTCATTGGCCAGCTGATTGCCCATCTGGCTTCTTGGCTAGTTGGCTGGCTGGCCAGTTGACCAACAGGCTGTTTTGCTGACTGGCCAGTAGAGCACCGGGCTGGTTGCCTGTCCAGCTGTCTGTTTGTCTGTCTGGCCAGTTGCCCAGTTGGCTGATGGCCAGGGGCTGGCTAGCAGGCCAGACAGCCGTGTCAGCCCTGGCCCCGGGGACAGCAACGTCCAACGCCAGGCACTGTCCCTCGCCCGACGGGGGAGCCCGGCTGCAGGCGAGGGTGGGGCAAGGTGTGGGTGGCATATCCCCCCGTCCCTGTCCCTGTCACGCTGCCGCTCATTACGGACACGGCGGGGCCCGTCACCCTCCCGCCGCGCGGCAATTAAGGGCTGCCAACACCGGCAGTTAATTAGCGCCGGCGGTGAGCGCTGCGAGGTGACGGCTGAGCGGCTGGCGAGGGGACGGGCTGGGGACGTGTCCCCCCGGGGGCACGAGGGGTGGGAGTAGCGGGGACTTGGGCTGCTGGCACCAGCTGTGCTGTCCCCGGGGCGCCCCACGGCCGGCGTGACGCGGCGAGGGGTGCGCGGTGACAGCGGGGGACAGCGACGGGACGTGCAGGGGTGGCACTGGGGAGTGCCCTGCGCGGTGACGGTGTGTGACACCCCAGGCCGTGCAGTGACGGTGACAGTGGGTGACACCCCGTGGGCCATGCAGTGACAGCGACAGTGGGTGATACACTGCAGGCCGGCAGTGACGGTGACAGTGGGTGACACTCCGTGGGCCACGCGGTGACACGGCACTATGTGACAGCCCCTGCGCCGGGCACTGACGGTGACTCTGTGTGACAACCCACGGGAGCTGCAGTGACACTGCGTGGCACCCGGCGGCCCCGCAGTGACAGTGACACCCTGTGCACTGCGCGGTGACAGTGACACCATGTGACACCCCGGGGAGCAACAGTGAAGCTGTGCAGCACCGCGGGGCTGCGCTGTGTGACACGAGTGGGGCTGTGCAGCCACGATGACACTGTGTGACACCCCGGGGAGGTGTGCAGTGACAGCGACACTGTGCCACACCCCAGGGACCGTGCAGGGACGGTGACACTGTGCTAACACCATGCAGTGACAGTGCCACCCGTGACAACAGGCACCGTGCAGTGACACTGGTGACACCAGTGCCAGGCAGTGTATCACACTCAGACCCCCCGGGCTGTCCCTCCTCGTGGGTATTGAGCCCCCCAGCCAGCTCACACCTGGGGCAGTCCCCACTGGGGGATGTCACCGTGTCCCTATAGCCCATAGGGGGACATCTGCACCCCGTGGGTGTCCCATGATCGGGTGCTCCAAGGAAGGGGGGGGGGCCGGGAAGGGGAGGCCGGGGGAAGGGGTTCACTGGGGGGGGGGGGTCCCGGGAAAGGGGGTGCGGGGGGAAAAGGGGTGCTCTGAGGAAGGGATGCACTGGGGAGGGGGTGCAGCAGGGAGGGGGTGCGCTGGGGAAGGAGGTGCTCCAGGTAGGGGTGCTCTGGCTCGGAAGGGGGTGCAGTAGGAGGAGTGTCCGCCTGTCACGAGCCCCCGGCAGCCGCAGCGGAATCGATCCGGCCGCCAATTTGCACAGTCAAATATTTGGCTTCGCGGCGCGGGGCCGGCTCTGCTCGAGCCGCCCCGGTGGGCGCGGGGGTGACGCTGCTCCGCGATCGATGGCGGGACGTGGGGCGAGCAGGGCCGGGGGTGTGGCGGGGCTGGGGGCCGTGGCACAGCACCCCCCGGCCCCCGGAGCCCCCCGAGGGGGCAGCACCCGTGTCACGAGCGCGGGGTCTCAGCCGGCGTGTCCTTCAGGGTGTCTCCTCCACGGCCATCGATCGTGCTGTCGATGCCACCCAGCCCACGGAGCTGAGCCGTCTGTCACCGGCGGGGAACACGGGCTTGTCCCTGAGGGGGTTTGGCTGGGAGGTGGGAGGGGGACTAGGGACGCTGGGGCAATCCTGGGGCAGCACCCACAGCTGGGCACCGCACAGCAACAGCCCCATGGCCAATCGCCCGGCTCCAGAGCCCCTCCCCGGTGGGTGCCGACACCCGGGCACGCAGCCCACACAGGGGGCTCAATCCCCAGCTCCGCCCAGAGTCCCCAAACCAGGCCCCCACCAGCCCCACGGACAGCCCTGTGCTTCACCATCCCCTGAAACCAGTCGCTCCCTCGGCCCCGCTAAACTCGTTAGCGAACGTCAGCCGGGCGGGAGCGAAGCGCCAAATGCGATTATGGCCCCGGCTCGTCCCCTCCTTCCACCCCCGGCCCCATTTATCGCGGAGGCGAGCGGGAGGGAGCTGGAATCAGCGCTTATCTCGGCCGAGAAATCGCGCTCCGGCCCTGATTTATGGCTGGCTGGGAGGGACTCCGGCATCGCCGAGCATTAAGAGCAGGGAGGGGGTGTTTGAAGGGCTCCCCCCACTTCGGGAATGCTCTCTGGGGCTGCACAGCGACCGCTGGGTCTCTCCACATGGGCGTGACACAGGACCTGTGGGTGCACTGTGGGGCTCAGGGGAGGGCAAAGGAGTGGGAAGGGTGTCCGGCCCCTAAAAGGGGCACGTGCTGGCTGGGGACACTGAGACGGTCCCTGTGCCTAAAGGCTGGCACTGGGGACAGCCAGGACACTGCCTCACAGGGCCGAGCCCGGGAAGGAGGGTGGGAGCATCCTGGAGGATCCTGGAGACCCCTGCGTGCAGGGAGGAGGGGCGGGCAAGGGCTGGCAGCACCCACCCTTCTCAAAGTGTGGGGACAAGGGGTGGCAGTGGAACAGGGGTACCCCAGGGGGAAAGCACTGGCACAGAGAACCACAGGGGGCCCAGGATCACATCCCAGGAAGCTGGAACTGCCCAGAGCCAACACGGATCCATAGCCCCCCCCCAGGAAGCTCAGGGCAGGGCTGACGCTCCGAGCAGCTCCTGGAGCAGCCCAGGGATGTTTACTGGGAAGAGCACGAGCGCCCGTCAGCTCTGCCTGCGTGTGCTGAACTTTACAGAGCGCAGCCGTGCCCCGGCATAGGAAACGACCTGGGAATGGGCCGGGAAGAGCTGCGGGAGCAGCCGCGGGAGCAGCTGCTGTTCAGTGTTTTATTAAAACAAAAGTGAAGAGCCAGCACCCGCCTCGCCCAGGCTCGGCTCTCCCGCCGGGAAAGCGCCGCCGAAGGAAGCTCAAACAGCAGGAAATGAGTCTGAACGAGGCAGAGCCCAGGTCTGTGCCCGCTCCGGGGTGTATCACACCCTTGGATCCAAAGACAAGGGCGACCCACGAGCGATGGCTACAGAAGCAGAGGGCGGGAGGGAGGGGAGCAGCCACCTGAACACCCGACCCACGTGAACGAGGTGCTGTCCATCCCCCCCAGGCAGATTTAACACGTTTCCATTAAATCAATGTGAAAGAGGGGAAATCCCAGGTCTAAACTCGGATTAGGAGGGCTGAGCTGCAGGGGATCACCCCAGGGACATTGTTGGCAGGGACAGGGCCCAAGAGGCCACCTCTTCTCAGGGAAGAGATTGTCCTGGAAGACATTAAAGTGAGATTGTCCCATATTAAAGTAAGATTGTCCTGGATTAAAGTGAGATTGTGCTGGATTAGAATGAGATCGTCCCGGATTAAGATGCCTCAACTCACCAAAGTCCCACCATAGAGACCCACGGGGGGACAACAAGAGCCTCCCCCAGAGGCACAGCTGGTGGGCGAAAACCTGAGCAGGGAGAAGGTGCTGGAAAAAACCCCCTGGCTACATTCACCTTGGGAACTGTGCAAGGAGACACCTCTCCCCGCTGTCTGCATTCAGCTGGCAAAGCTCATTAACAGAGGTGGCCTTTTGGTGCCCTTTTCAAACCAGGGAATTCAGGCCCCTTCCCTGACTAAGAGAAAAGGTGAATTAGGAGATGAGATGCCGCAGGAGGAGGAACACCAGCCCCCCGAGCCCGGCGACGGCCGCGCCCACCGCCAGCCGGGCCCAGAGGAAATCCAGGGAATCCTCGAGGCGGGCGTGGAGCTGCAGCACCTGCCGGCGGGTGCTCTCCCGGTCCCCCGAGTTGTCAATGACGTGAGTTGCCCACTGGAGCTTCTCCTCCAGTGGGATCTGGGAGCTGATCCGGGCGTCGGCCGCGGCCGCGTCCAGCCCGTTCCGCCTCATCAGCCGCGCGCGCTGCGCCGGGGGGTCACTGCCAGGGAGGGGATGGAACTCAGGTGGGGTGGGGGGAAGGGGGTTATGCCTTCCTTGGGCATGAGGAGGGATAATAAAGTGGGAATGAGAAACATTCCCCGTGTCATTTCTGCCCCAGCCATCAGGTCAGCACTGCCCAGGATGACCCCGCTGCAGTGTTTTTGGCATTCCCACAGCCCACAGCACCAGGCAGTGCCCCAAATCCTGCCCCAGCTGATGGTGCACAGGCTGTAGAAGGTCCAGAGGAACAACATTCCCTGCATGATGGTGCTAGCTTCCAGGGAAAGCTCAAGAAGCCCCCTCAAGTGCACTAGGATGAAGGGAGGTGCCACAGCACAAAGGGAGATGTCACTTCTCTCAATGGGCTTCGCACCAGGGCAGTGGCTGAGCCCCCACCAGAGCAGAGAGATGTGACAGCCCCCTCTAAGAGAGGTGGCAGTGTCCCTGTCCTCATGGTTCCTGGGGCACTTACCAATAAACCAAGACCGTGTATCTCATAAACTTGGTCAACCCGCGGGTCTCGAAGAGCAGAGGGATGTCCAGGATCACGTAGTGGTATCCTGAGGAAATGGCAACACCCCTCAGAAAAGGGAACAGCGTTAACCCCCGTTCCCAAATCCCTCCTGCTACACACACACCATGGCCATGAGAAGCAAAGGAAGTGGGAGCTCTACAGCTCCATGATTGCAGCAGAGCCCGTTCGCCCTCCTCCCTCTCGCAGGGAGGAAATGGTTTCATTCCAAGTTTCCAGAGGGAAAAAAAAAACCAACCCTAACCTGGCTGCTCTCAGACCAAAGGTGAAGCTGCAGAAATATAATGAGGAGCTGAAACGAGGAGCTGAAATGAGAGCAGCAGTGCCTGGCTGGCGAGAGCAGCAGCCGTGCTGGGCTCTCCCGGGAAGCAGTGTCCACAGCAGGATCTGCTCTCCACTCCTTCCCTTGTCCAAGACTTTGCCAGGCTGCAGTCATCTGAGCCAGCCTTCCCCAGCTCAGTTTTCCTGCCTTTATGCACAGCTTTGGCTTTACAGCTCCATTTTTCCAAGGGGAGCGAGGAAATCCTTGCAGACCTCTCGCAGCTGTGACACCGAAACATGGGGGAGCCTCTGGGCATGGCCCCAGGGCTGAACCCTCACCAAAACTGGCTGAGTTTGGTTTAAAGGCACTGTCACCATGAGGAACAGAGCTTGCCACAGCCAGTCACCGTCCCCTCAGGCCCTGTGGCCCCCAGTTTTCCCTGTGCCTCTGCCCTTGGCCAGCGCCAGCTCTTTGGCATCTGGGGAGGTGGGAGATGCCCTGCTGAGCCCGGGGGCATAGGAGAGAGGAAGGGAAAGCTCTAAGCCAGGATTTCACTCCCCTGTGTGTGCCTCAGCCACAGGGACACCTCAGATTTTGCTGCTGTCCCCTCTTTATAACCCAACCACCCTAAAACCCACGGCAAGCAGAGCCTGGACAGAGACATCATCCAAGGAGCCCCATTCCACCGCATCTCCGCCCCCAGAGGCTTCTTGCTGCCCTCCAGTTTGATCGATCAGAGCTTTCCTTACACAGCGATCCTCAGAGACAACATCCAGCTATCCCAAATCATTAAATCCTGACTAATGAGGACAAAGCTGCCTGCTGAAGCCACACAGCACTCTTGCCGAGGGCCAGCGCAGCATCCGCCTCCTGAGCCCGCAGCCCCGGGTTCAAGACTCCATCTCTGCCTCCCGGCTTTCCTGCCTGTTGCTTCCTTTATGTCCCTCCTCCTCCTCACCCTGCAGCAGAGCTTGGCCCCATGGAGCCCTTGCACAGGCCTGTTCAGCTCTCACAGGGCTCCAGCTCTGATGAGCGCCACAGATCCAGACTGGCTCTGTGAAGTCTGTCATACACGGAGACCTCCGGAACAGCTGGTGATCTTATCTGGCATTTCTCCAGCCCTGCCTGACAGCTGCATTTGTTCCATGTATCGGGGGGAAGGCAGGACTTTGGAGCCCACAGCTGTCAGCCCGCCCCTCACCTTATCGGCGCTCCGAGGGCTGCACAGCTCCCACCAAGGCCGGGGGCAGGGAAGGATATTCGGCCATTTCGGGAGTGTGACATTATCCGGGGGGTGATCTCAGCACAGACCTCACAAAGCTGCTCCCAGGCCCCACAGATACGCTTTAAACCGCAGAGGAAGGCGGTGAAGGGCAGCAGTGAAAGGCAGGAGTGAATCAGGAATGAATCCTCCAAAGGCCACCGCAGGCAGAGCACAAAGGCTGTCACTCAACGTCCCTTCCCCTTCTCCGTCCCTGTCCCTCTCCCCACGTTCAGGGACAGCTCCTGCCTGAGAGGAGTCCCCAGGGGCTGGGACTTGGCCTCTTACCGAGCACAAAGTACTTCAGGATCTGCTTCAGCATCTCCTTCAGGATCTCGGGGTGGGTGATGGAGTTCAGCAGCCGCCGTTTCTCCGGCTGGGTGAAGATGATGTTCCCGAGAGCCTCGCGGTTTATCTCGCCATTCTCCAGGAGGATCTCAGTGCCAAAGTACCGCAGGATCTGCTGGTGGGCCTTGGAATGGGGCTGCACCACTGAGAACATCAAACAGCCGGGGGTGAGGGCTGGTTTTACAGCACTGTTTGCATCAGCAGCCGCCCCCAGACGGGGTTTGGTCACGAACGGACTGAGCTGATCCTCGCCGGGGCACCACATCTGCCTCCAGCACATCTGCCTCAGCACCAGCTCCTGCCAACAGCCCTCCCAGCCCAAGGTCCCTTGCAGGGCTGACACCTCCTGGGAGATCAAAGTGTCCTGCAGACATTAATTCAGCACCACAACCCTCCCAACCCGTGCTGCTGCTCGGGGTGACAAGTCAGCAGGGCAGGCAGGAGGACACGGCCGTGGCCACACGCCAGGGCAGGGGCAGGAACTGGGCTGAGCTGACTCCCACCAGTGAGGAATCAATCCAAAGGGATCAGAACCAGCTGAAAACTTCAGCACTACGTGAACACACACTTCTACAACCTGTGTCTGGCTGCTGCTGAGGTATTTTTTTTTTACTGTCTTTGACCTCAGTCACTAAATTCTTCAGGAAAATGAACACAAAAAACCTTCTAAAAGCTCAATCCCCAATGAGCCCTTGCAGGGACTCTGACGTTATAGGAGTGTATAACTTTAAAGCCACCAAAAAAAATCACCAACAAAAGGGATGCAGCAATAAAATCATAATTAAGCTCCAGCTGAGGGTAACCACAGCGAAGGAGAGAGCAGCTAATCATCTCTCCCAAATCCAGGAACATTGCCACAGGTTGTAACCTCAGGCCAACCTCATAAAAGTCTTTAAGACCAATTTCTTCCTCCCGTGGAATATCACATGGAGGCAGTTTTGGGATGGGTGAAATCCATATAGTAAACAAACACGTATAAAAAAGGAATTGGAGGAAAATAAAGTGATTGGTAGAGAACTGACACAGAGTATCTGTAGTGTTTTCCTACTGTCTCCAAGGGTTTTTAGCACCTCCAGCAAATTTCCTGCACCTCGAGGGGAATTACAGTGCAATAAAATGTTAAAGCATCACAGCTTTGAGTGGCTACACCGTAAGTTCTTCACCAAACAGAAAAGTTCCAAATGACACCACTGCACCACAGCTCAGCTGCAGCCCCTGGACCTGCCACATGCAGGATCCACAGACTCCAGAAACCCAGGCTGGTTTGGGTGGGAAGGGACCTTAAGGACTACCCTGTGGGCAGGGACACCCTCCACTATCCCAGGTTGCTCCAAGCCCTGCCCAAGCCGGCCTTGGACACTTCCAGGGACAGGGCAGCCACAGCCCCTCTTGCCAAGCTCTCTGTTCCCCTTGTTATCCCTGTGGGATGGAGGGATTAACACCTCACAGCTAATCAGGGAGAGCAGTGTCTGCTCCAGTCCTGCTGAGGCAACAGACCTGGAATTCTGGCTCTTCCCTCTAGCCCAGGCAGCACATTTGAGAGCAGCAAGAGGCAGGTGTGCAGGAGCACAGACCAAATTCCCTCACCTGGGATCTCTGGAGCCTCTTTTTTTTTTTTTTTTTTTTGAGCATTAATTTTGAGGTCTGATCTCTCAGTGTCACCAAGAAAACAACATCCAGCACAGAGGGACATTCTCATTCAAGCCTGTAGTGATCCCACCCCACATAACTGGGTGACAGGATGGGTGTCCTGGATGTCATGGGGGACACTGGATTAGCCAAGGGAACCACATTAATTTTGCCCAGAGTTGGCTTTCAAAGCTGGGAAACATCACACTCCAGGAGAGAGAAACTCAGGGCATGATCTCCCCACGGTGTTTCTTAGGACATGATCTTCTTTTTTTGGTTATTAAAAATATATCCGAGTTCCAATCCCCCTCCCCCGGAGGCAGCTCCACAGCCTCACGGAGTGGGCAGCGGGAGGGAAACACTTGGATGTACCCAGAGCACCCTCTGCCGTCAGCGCCTCCCGGCAGCAATCCCAGTTGTCAGGGGAACCTCAGGGAGCGGGATGAGCCACGGAAAACTCACCCTCCCGGGCAATAAGGTCGGCGTCGATCACGGCACAGCCCAGCTCCCGCAGCACGGCCACCACCGTGCTCTTCCCCGATGCAATCCCACCCGAGAGTCCCACCAGGAACATCGTGCTCTGAAAGGGGAAAGAAAGGAGCTGGAAAACGTGCCAAGACAGGGCTCTTTTTTTTTGTGCTGGGCACAGCAAATATTTAGCCCAAAACAGGTGGCTTCATTCAAAGCTCATTCTCTCTGGGTGTTACTGAGACATCGGCAGGATTTTGGCACCCTCTGGGCTGGGAATTCCTGTTTCACAGGCTGCAGGATAATGCTGGGTTAAACGAGGCTTCCCTGGACCCCCCTAACTCTGGATGTGCCACTTGAGCCAGCCCTCAGTTCCTCCAGCTGGTTTATCTGCAGCTGCAGCAGCTCATTCCCCTTCAGCATCTGCACCCACCAAACCACAGTCTCACCTCCAGCACCATAAACCATGGAATCATGGAATGGTTTGGGTTGGAAGGACATTAAAGTCCATCCATTCCCACTCCCTGCCATGGGCAGGGACATCTTCCACTAGCCCAGGTTGCTCCTAGCCCTGTCCAACCGGCCCTTGGACACTTCCAGGGATCCAGGGGCAGCCACAGCTTCTCTAGAAAATTCATTCCAGCCCCTCCCCACCCTCACAGCAATAATTCCTTCCCAATATCCCATCTCTCCCTGCCCTCTGGCAGTGGGAAGCCATTCCCCTTGTCCTGTCCCTCTATTCCTTGTCCCAAGTCCCTCTCCAGCTCTCTTGGAGCCCCTTTAGGCCCTGCAAGGGGTTCTCAGGTCTCCCTGGAGCCTTCTCTGCTCCAAGCGAGCACCCTCAGCTCTCCCAGCCTGGCTCCAGAGCAGAGGGGCTCCAGCCCTTGGAGCACCTCCATGGCCTCCCCTGGACCTGCTCAGAGAAATCAGAGGAAACTTCTGGTAGGGTTGGTGAGGGTGACAGTGATAGAGTCAGTGACAAAGAGGAAGAATTCAGACATCTCAACGTGGGAGAACACAAGCACTGGGAGGGAGAGCCCTGCTTGATCCTGCAGCTGGGTAGGGGAGATCAGCCACCTCTGACATAATGGGGACACAGAGCACACAAGGCACTCAGTGCATCCCATTCTCACACTGCTTGGCAGCCCAAGGGGCACAGAAACCATGGCTCTGAGCAGCAAACTGGTGTTTGTGAGCTGGCAAACACAGCCTTGGACACAGATCCTGTGCCTGCCCACGGCCCTGAGGCCAGTGGGTGCTGGTGACCCCCCAGCTCCTCTCACAGCTCCTGCACAGAGATCCCTGCTCCAGACAGACCCTGAAATCCTCTAAATCCAAAAGGCTCTGTAATGCTGAGGCAGCTCTGGAGGGCTGAGGGGACTCCTGGGAGTATCTGCATCCCAAAAAGGCAACAGCCACAGGAGGCTGGGAATGAACCTCGTGTCCCCCCTGCAGCCCCGGCCCAGGGTGTCCAGGGCTTTGTGCAGCTGAGTCCTGCAAACCCCCAGGGACAGAGGCCCCAGCTCTGCTGTCACCTTGTGACACCACCCTCACAGGCAAGGGGCTGAACCTCCCAAACCCCATTTTTCTGCCTGTTGTCTCTGAGAAGGAACTGGCCCCGTGATCTTTGGCCAGGAGCCACAGGCTGCTGGTGGTCACCCCTCAGCCTCCTCCTGCCCAGACCCAGCTCCCAGAAAGCCCTGTACCCCAAACCCAACAATCTCAGCCACCACTGCTCTGCCCAACCGGTTTCTGGTCTTTCCCCTCCCTCCAGACACCCCCAGCCCCCCCAAAAACTGAGCACACACAGGACCCAGGTACCTACTGCCTGCACTGTCCCCACGAACAGGGGGCTGCAGGAGGGCTGAGATGGGTCAAAACACAGCACTGTGTCCTCTGGGCTGGAAAACACACACACAAAAAGACACTTTAGTCATAATTAGCTCCTACAAGCAGGACTCAAAAACAGAGTTTAGTGGGAGACAGGGGCGGGTGAGTCCTGTGGAGCTGGAGGCAGCTCAGCAGAGGGAAGAGGCAGAGTTGGAGTAAAAGCCAGGAGCTGATGCCAGCCCACAGCAGCACCATGTGCTCCTTCCCCTTCCCAGACCAACAGATGGGGAGAACTCCAGCAGCAACAAGGAGGAATAATCCAAAAGGACTCAGAAAGGGCACTTCTGATAAACAGCAGCGCTTTGGGGTGGCTGACAAACACCTCAAGCAGGACCTGGATGACCCAGGGAGCCTTTTCTGGTGTTACTGTGGGCTCAGTGTGACAGAGGGGCTGTTTGTTTATCCCAGCAGGTTAAAATATTGCTCTCCCACCAGGATTTCATACACCTGCTGCAGGAGGAGCCACACAGCAGCTGCACAGGGAAGATCCACATCGCAGGAGTGGAGGCTCCACATGCCTGTTTTTTTGAAAAATACACTCAAAACTCTGCTGCCCATGTAGAGTAAACGCAGGGCTTTAACTGCAGCAACATCAGTGTTCTGGCCTCCAGCCTCAGCTGGGACTTGCTCCCAAAAACCTTCTATTTCTGTCCCTCCGTCGCAGGAATTACTGCAGGGGGAAGCAGCCCTTGGAAGGGTTGTCCTGGAATCCAGGGCCAGCCATGGCTTGGAACATTCGTGCTGTCCAAGGCTCAAGAGCTCAAGCACAGAGCTCAGCACACGGACGGAACGAGGCATCAATATTTAACGAGCCCGGGTGTGAAGTGCACACGAGGGGAGAGAGGCCAGCCCGCTGCTGCAGCTGCTACAGGCAGGAGCCAGAACCAGTTTTCCCAAAAATACATTTTTTAGCTATATTCGGCCTGTTCCAACTAAATCAGGGATGGGGAAAGACAAAACACGAGGCATGGAGGCTGTTTGGGCTGTAAAGCCGGGAGGAGCTGCTCCAGCAGTGAGGAACGGGGAGAAGCACCCAGGGCACCGATGAAATGGGTTTTAAACACTGAGGTGCCCCAAATTCCCCTGTGTCCCATCTCCTCTGGTTGCTGAGCGCAGCACAAGCTGCCAGCCCCAGTCCACCCATCACAGCGATTGGGGATGGACCAATGTCCTCCCGCACCACTCTACACCCCGGCTCTCCCCCTGCGCCCGTCCCCGGCTCTGGCACAGGGACAGACCCGGTGTTTGGCTCGAGGAGGCGGAGGTTAAAAGGAAAAATCATTAAATACATAGTTAATTAGGGGGAAAGAGCCGCCACCCCCGCCCTGACCGACCCGCGCCGCGAGACCCTCTCGGCGCCCTCACCCGCTCACCCCCTGCCCGCCTTCACGCGCCCCGCAGTATCCCGCGCGCCTATTGGCTGCGAGAAGGCGGGGCGACTCTCCCAGCCAATCGGCACCGCCCTCATAGGGCTGCCCCTACCCCCTCCAGCGGGAAGCGGGCGGAGACGCGGACACGCGGCCTCGGTGCGGGACGGGTGGCCGAAGGGGCCGGGGCGCGGCTCTCCGCCACGGCGGGGCTGCCCCGGTGTGACAGAGCCCTCCTGCCCCGGGACATCCTCAGAGGCTCACGGGAATTGTAGTCCTGGCCGCGGCGCAGCCCGGCCCCCGCAAGCCCGCGCAGACTACCGCTCCCGGCATGCCCCGCGGCGCGGCGCCCAATCGCGGCGCGCCTTGTTGCGGGGGCGCGGCCGGCGCCCAGGGTCCCGTTTCAAGATGGCGGACGACAGTGAGACAGCAGTGAGGCGGCCGCCGGCGCGGCTGTCGCGACCGGCGGCGGAGGAGAACGACCACGAGCACTGCAGCGACTGCGAGAACGAGGCGGAGCACGGCTCCAACCGCGGGTGAGCGGCGCTCGAGGCCGCGCGGCGCGGCGGCCGCCGGGGCCCATTGAAGGGAGGGCAGCGGCCGGGAAGTGAGCGGCGCCCCGCCCCCCCATCGCGCTGATTGGCCGGCGGGCAGAGTGCCGCGCTGCGGTTGGTCGAGCCGGCTGTCGGTCATGCGGGGGGCGGGGCTCTGCGGTAGCGTGTCCGGAGCTCGGCAGGGTCGGGCGCGGCCGCGGCGCGGGGGGGTGACCACTGACCCCCGGTGCCTTTCCCTGCCAGAAATGAGCCCATTTACTGTGTCTCCTCGTCCTGGCCTTAGAGACACACTTAGACGAGGTGTCTCTCCATATTCCCTCTGCCCTCCCAGCCCGTTCCTGGCATCCGCGTGCCCGCGGTGACACCCAGGGTGGTGATCCCGCTTCCCTGGAGCGTGTGGCATCCCCTGCGCCCTGGAAGAATCCCAGGCTTCTGCACGCCCATCCCGTCGTTATCCTACACACACACAGCCCGGGGTTTTGCAAGGCTGTGCCTGCATTGTCTTGTGGTTGGAGGTGTGGAATGATGGAATAACAACAATGAGGATGGGAGTGAGCACAGGCAGCGAGGCAGGTCCTTATCTCGATAGGGTAGAGCTGGAATGCCAAAAGTGGCATCGTCGTTACTTACTCATTGCCTTAATTAACACAGTGCAGAGCTCACTATGTGTCCAGGATTTGCAGGAGAGGCTTGGTGCACATTCCAGCTGGGAACGGGTGTGTCAACCTGTGGCTTTCCAGAGGTTTTGTACCTGGTGCTTCCCTCACCTGAGCCTCGCCACTCACCTGGAGCCCCAGCAGGTGTGCAGACCATCAACCTGAAGAGCCCTTCTCCCTCCACGAGCAGCTTTCCATGGACAATCCTGCCTGCCCAGCAACAGGAGCGAATAAAAGGTCACCCAAGAAATATCACAGAGCCTTTTTTTATGACAGCACAGCTGCCCATTTATATTTCCTTTGCCCCCCGGGCGTGGCTCCGTGTCTCGGTTTAATCGGTTTAGCCGCGCTCAGGGAGGTTTTTATTTTCTTTCCCTCTGACATGATTAGGTTTGTGGGAGCCAGAGCTGAGCAGAGCACTGACAAGGTGCTTAATCACAGCCACTTCCCAGCCCAGAGGTTCCTCCTGCCCTTTTTGCCAGGAAAAGGTGTGTTCTGGAGCCCTCCTCAGGTCCTGGTGTGTGATTCCTGTCACCTGGAGGAGCTGGAATGTTTTTGGCTGCAGATGCCACAAGCTGAGTGGGAGATGTCCATTAGGAAATAGTTTGGATTGCTTGAGAAATAACATTAAAAGCGTGGCTGGTTGGCACAGTGATGAGGAGCACAAGACAGGGGGGCTTTGGAGCTCTCTGGGAAATCTCCTGCCCCCAAAACCTCATGGGGATCCGTGAGGAGAGACCAAGCAGTGGGAAAGGGGGTGGATTTCCTTCTGGATGTTGATTCCATACCATCACATCCTGCTGGGGTGTGGGAGTGTTTCGGGTCACCCCAGTGACACTGTCCCCAAAAACTGTCCCCCAAAAGGCCTGGAGCTGCTGGGCTTTGCAGAGCCACACTGGGAGTGCTGTCAGTGCCAGTCTGTGCACTGGATCCAGGCACTGAGGTTTAAAACATGAAAGTATTCCTTAGTGAAAGCAGCACTTCCTTTCCTTTTAAGGACAGGAAAGAGGAATTAGGTTTCCTCAGCCTCAGTCCTGTGTCAGCAGAGGGAAGTGGCTGCACTGCTCTCTGCTGTGGCCATCCAAGTTGATTTTCTGATGAAAACACTCTCACTTTGGTGTTTGTCATGTTTTCCTGTGTGGAGAGTGTGTCCTTCTGCTGTGTTCCTGGTGTTTGTGGAGGGTTTATTCCCTGACTCTGGAAATGGGCTCAGGCTGGTGGGGTTTGTCACCTCACAGGCAGCAAGGGCAACGGTGACACCAGGGATTGGAGTGTCCCAGCCCTGTGAAACAGGTCAGTTCCAGGCAGGAAGAGCTTGGGAATTCCCTGAAGCGCAGCTGGGTTGTTGCTGGATGGGGTGTGAGGGGGGAAAAGGAGCTTTTCCAGAGGAGCAGCTGCCAGTTTGGCAATCCCTGCCAGCACTTCACCACAAAAGGATGTTCCTGGGACGACCACATGTGGAATTCAGCTGTACGTGTTGTGTGGGGCACAGTAACTGAGCTCTACCATCTGGAAATCCTCCTCCCTCCCCAGCCCCTAACGAGATTACAGCCTAAGCACTGCTCCTGATTAGCCCCAGGTTTGGCACACAGATTTTCCAGCACCTAAATAGGGAGCTGGGATCAACTCTTTCTCATCTGACACCTTCCAGCCTCTCACCAGGCTGAGGGAGCCGAGTTGTCCTGCCTTGTGCTTCCTCCCTCACTTTGCAAAACCAAAGCCCTCAGATTTGGGAATACAGCAGGATCACCCACGGATCCAGGGGATAGAGGGGTAGATGCTGAGTACCAGTTTGTTACTGGCTGTGTGTGGTGTTTTCCAGCCTCCAGAGGCTGGAAGCAGTCAGTTTGAGTGGGTCTCACTCTGAACAAGCCCAGTTGGTGTATTTAGGTGCTTCCAAAACCCAATTTTTGAGATCACTCAGGTTATGGGTGTTGTTTTCTGGGCAGTGGTTTGTGCCTTTCCCTCCAACTCAAGGAGCCATCTGATAATGGGAAAGGAGGGATTGGAATGCCAGGCAATGACCATGATGATGGTGATGCCTTTCCCAGAAGAAGGGAAGAGTGTTTTCCTTAGCCAGAAAAGAGACCATTGTGATCCCACGGGGAATTGGAAGATGTTTCGCCAACCTGCCCTTCTCCACCTGCTTTATCTTTTAAAGCACTTTGGAATGGAAAGAGGATCTGGGAGGAAAAAAGGGAGGAAAAGAGCACTGAGTGCAGCTGGGAAGGCTGGAAGGGTGTTGGATGAGAGCTGGGCTGGCAGCTCCCCCTTCCTGGGGGTGAAGCTGCTTCAGCCCCCTCGGCTCCATGGGTCGGGTCAGCTGCAGTAACTGGGGTTTTGGATGGTGGTGACTTGTCCCAGGACACTGGTGGGCCATTGTCCTTAATTTCAGTGTCTGAGGGGCTGCCCTGGATAAAGAAGATATTTGCTTCCTAACTAGATTTAAAATAGAAAATACCTATAGTTGTTGCTTCTGAGTGAGTTGGTCCTTAGGGTTTTCCAGCATTTTCCTGCGTGGTGGTGACTCCTCCTCTGGGTTGGTTTTCATCTCCTTGATGGAGCAGGATCCTTCCCCAGGCAAATGTAAAACCTCATCCCACCTTCTGCCACCCTGATTTCTTCCAGGGCACGCCAGCTTTGCTCATAAATCAGGGAGGGTTTTACCTGTGAGCCTGGCTTGGTTGGACTGAAGTCATTAGCACCACGCTGGGACTTGGCAGCTTTGATTTATGGAGCCCAGCGACGCCCACGGAACACGAGGGGAGCATTTTGTTTGCCTCATCTGCCACCTGCAGCATCCCAGTGTGGGGGTGAGCTGGGAAAACGTGTCTGTCTCCTCTGCAAGGGGCGGCTTCCGGCCCTTGGATGTGCTCAAGAATTCCCCTCGTGCTGTTAAAATTGGTCGGAAATGCTTTGGATGCGTTTGTTGCCGCTGCAGGGTGGTTTGGCTCAGCCCGGGAGCTCGGAGTGGCCGGGATGTGCCCGGTCCCGCCCCTGCTCCTCCCCAGGGAGTTAGAAAAGCCGTCACACATTTGTCATGGAAATCAATAGCGGTGTCAGCGCCGCTGTGTTGGGATTAGCGCTGCTGTCATGTCCGAGCCGCGGCTCCTGCGTGGAGGCAAAGCCCTCTCCTGGCAGTGGGAAGGAAGGTAAGATTCCCCCCAGGGATGGTTCAGCAGCGCCGAGGGATGCTGGTCCTTGGAACTGCTGCTCCTCTCTCTGCTCTGCTGCAAACAAACACTTCAGGTGCTTCTGGAGAAGAGGGGGGGCTTCTCTTCCCTCCCCATTGTGGAGCAGCTCACCCTGAGCCACTGCTTGTTCCCCGTGCCAGTAATGCTTCCTGTCTCCTGATGTTCCACACAGGGCTCTGCTGATCGATTTTCTGATCCTTTTCCTTTGGTTCCTGCTGGTTCCCTTTCCCGAGCATGTGCTGCTGTTCAGGTTTTTGTCCATGGAAAAGCTTCCCCAGCCCAGCAGCTCCATGTCCTGCAAACTAGGGCAGTGCAGCCCATCACATCAGGTTTCTGTGCTGCATCCACAGGCACCTCCTTGCCCAGCCCTCCATCTTCATCCCTCAAAAACCACATTTCTCCATCCACTTGTCCCTGGTTTCATAACCCACTTGCTGCTCAGCTCAGGTATTTCATAGAATGGTTTGGTTGGAAGGGACCTTGTGGTTCCAACCCACTGCCACCTTCCACTTGTGTTTTTTTAAGCTTTCTTCCCCTCCCGGCTCCTCCTTGTTCTGTCCTTGCTGAAATAAATAGTTGGATGCTGCTCCAACACATTTGCCAGCATGTTTCTTCTTTCTTTTTCCTGCTCCACCCTCCTCACCACTGTCTTGTGTTTGGTAAAGACACGAAGCTATTCCAAGAGTGTGTGGTGCTTGGGGGGGTTCCAGGCTGGGCAGGTCAGAGCTGTGGGGTTGTCCCTGCTGTGAAAGCAGCAGTTGTTTTGGGCTGCAAGGAAC